CGCTAGCTATAGGCCACGCCCGGTCGTTAATTCGTTACAGAATACACACGTTTGTGAACAAGTTTGCTTTTTTAATATCTAAATATCTATATATATGCAAAGCTACTCAAAGTCTCCCTGCGCTAGCCGTTCCTAATTTTAAAGTCATAGATTGGAGGGACGGGTGTTAGTCAACACCACCCACTGCCAACTCTTTGACTACTCTTTACCAACAAATATTCGGATTTACCTTTACATTATAACGCCCCCACGGCTGAAAGGGCAAGTATGTTTGATTACTGGGTTTGAGAAAAAGGTATACCGTAGTTGACAACTAATAAATCATTTTCAAAAATATTTACTACTTTCACAGACGGTATTGGAACAATTATTCGAAGTATTTAGTTGTCGCAAATTAATTTTTGTTCGGTTGGAAAAAATAATAACATCAAGGGGCTCCGAATAGTTTTAAGTTTAAAAGTTTTAATTTCTGACGAAAGGAAACATTCAGTTCGATCACAGTAATAAACACAGTATTTTTATAAAGCAAAAACTAATAAACTTGTTCACGCATTCCAAGAAACCGTACATAGTATACATTTCCGTATGAATTCTATTTTTGATGTATTTAAAGGCTGCGAATAATAATGATTACAACATCTTATTAATTCGAAAGCCTTATAATCCTATTGGCTCTCCACGAAATTCGTCAACTATTTATCTTTTAGTCGCGGATTCGCCCTGTGATAGAGATCTGGATTTCGAAGTTGGCGATCCGGGTTCGAACCCATGCGTTGATAGAGTGCTGCTGACTGTTGCCTTCCCTCCAACAAGTAACCTTAGTAGCTTTGCCATAAATACAAAATAGAAGTACAAATATCATTTATAATAATGACAGCCGGCTTGAATAAATAGGCTAAATACTTTAAAAGCTTACGACAATTATTCACGCATAAAACAAACCACTTCCAAAAACCAAATAAATGTTAATAAACATAAAAAGTAATTTCTCTACTACTTACCCAGAATTTCACCAGAAAAAATGCGTTTTGTGGCCCCTTGTCATATAACTCTTTTAATCCTCCTTTCTTTTCTGGAAATTTATCGTAAATCTGTCTAATATCCACTGCCTAAAAAAAAGTAAAATAACATAATATAGAATATGAAAAAAAAAATGATTTTTTCCAACGAAAACATGAGATAAGAAAAATTTGATTAACATGAGTTTTTTTCTTATTCTAACTAATTGAGGGTACCAGTTAAGAAGAGAAAATTGTGTAAAGGACAATGTTCCCCTTCCTTTTGTTATTAAACACCGAATGACCTCATTAGATGCTAGTTGCATACCGTGCTTTGTGGAAGGTAATAATTGACTCATTTAATTGATTAAGTACTTGTGTCTTTAAAGTGTTTGTGTGTTTGAATTTCGCGAAAAGTTACACGAAGGCTATCTGCGCTAGCCGTCCCTAATTTAGCAGTGAAAGACTAGAGGGAAGGCAGCTAGTCATCACCACCCACCGCCAACTCTTGGGCTACTCTTTTACCAACGAATATGGATTACCGTCACATTATAACGCCCCCCATGGCTGAAAGGGCGAGTGTGTTTAGTGGGACGGGGATTCGAACCCGGGACCCTCAGCTTGCGAGACAAGCGCCCTAACCACCTGGCAATGCCGGACCATCTATAAATATTTTTTATCCCCCCTTCTCGGGCAAAAATCCTAAAATAAAATAGTCCATGTACATCGTCGGACCGTTTTCAGTTACCATACTAAAAATTATGGTAAACAAGAGTCCTAACTCTGGGTTGGTGGAAGCGAAACGTCTTTAAAAAGTGGAAATGCGCACTCTTTCAAGGGCTTTTTTATTTGCTTTCTTGGGCAAAATTACGAAAACAAAATAGCCCACGTACACCATTGAGCAGTTTTCAGTTATCATACTAAAAATTATGGTAATTGAGTCAGCTAACTTTGGGTGATGAATACTAACAAGCACACAGACATACACATAACTGATCATCTTTATAGCAAGATTTTTTCTATATAACAAGTTGTATTTCTCGAATTTTACTTGATGACGTAATGAAAGGTAAAGTGCAAAAAAATTAACAACTATATCTATATGTTCCTTTTCACCAGTTTTCTTACCTCCAACACAGGGTCCGAATAGCTTGGTAGACCTCTGATGTGAACGAAAAGATGCCTGTGGTACTAAGGGGCAAATATATATCAATAAAATTAAAAAATATGTAAACATTTAACTTACTCTAGATATATATATGTATAAGTTCCGGTAACCTAACACTTTGGTGGAATATTCTAGACATTTTGAATTACTGATATGTCACATCTATATTTAGGCTAAAAAGACTATTTTATATTATAATAGGTAGATCACTCTTAACAACAAATAGATAGAAACACTTGGTATTGATTTGTCATATATTTTAGTCACCAGAAATTAAAATTTTCCAAAGTACTTTTATAATTTGTAGCAAGAAAAAAACAAAAAACGTTCGTTTATTTGTTTTACTTTATATTTTATTATTCACGTTCTTATTACTTACTGCGTCATTGTCTTGCTGCTGTTCCATAAACGCTGAAAATTCCACCAGACGAAGTTTATGTGTGGCAATTGCCCGACCCTCCCAAGAGGGCGCTGTAGTCGGGGGCAAAAGATCAACACTACCAATTGTAGCGGAACTCGGGGGCTTCAGCGTCATCCCGTAAGGTTGACTGGCGAAGGGTTTAATACTACATAAATATAGAATTGAATAATCGCGAGCTATTTTTCACAGAAATTGTGACATTTTACGGTTTTTGCTAAATTATTTCCAAAACAAAGAAAAGGGTGTTTAAAAAGGAATTTTGAACGTAAGTAATATTTCAATACACGCACAGTAAAAATGAATATGTAAGGCAAGAATGTTTGAGAAAGTTTTAAAGCAATGTAAAATATCACACACTGGATATCAAATACTAGTTACAATTTAAAAGATTATAACCTATATCAATTTTTTGTGGTTTATCCATAAAGAACAATTTGAAAGACTCTATGGTGTGAACTAGTAGATTCATTTCATGTGGTTTCATCAAAAAACGAACTTGGAAAAAGCTATAAACTAGATAAATTTTGTGTGGTTCATTCGAAATAAACAATTTGAAGGACCCTATGTATAAACTATATATTTTATGTGGTATATCCGGAAACAACAACATGAACTACTCGACGGTATAAATTAGATTTATTTTATGTGGTATATCCGGAAACAACAACATGAACTACTCGACGGTATAAATTAGATTTATTTTATGTGGTATATCCGAAAACAACAATATGAATTACTCGACGGTATAAATTAGATTTATTTTATGTGGTATATCCGAAAACAACAATATGAATTACTCGACGGTATAAATTAGATTTATTTTATGTGGTATATCCGAAAACAACAATATGAATTACTCGACGGTATAAATTAGATTTATTTTATGTGGTTTATCCGAAAACAACAACATGAATGACTCTATGGTACAAATTAGATCTATTTTGTGTGGTTTATCCGAAAACAACAACATGAATGACTCTATGGTACAAATTAGATCTATTTTATGTGGTTTATCAGAAAACAACGATTTGTTTTACTAACAGAAACGACGCCCTACGGGCGGCTGTTTGTGCTAGTAATTACTAATCGTAGTATTCATACCTCATTGAAAAACATTTAGAAAAAGTGAACATTTTCTTAAAAAATGGATTTTTCTGGGAAGTACTGCTCGGGAAGAGTGTTCGGATTGTGCTGATATAAACTGTAACGTTTTAATATATTAAAAGTGTACCCTTTATTGAAAAAATAACAGTTTTTTTTTAAGAACTCCATTTTAAGTACTATATTTAAAACTTACACCAATAAAGATCTAACCAAACCCTCACGGTCAGTCCTAGTGAAAGTCGTGTTCTTGTTGTGAGGAGAGTAATTTAATTAAAATTGTGTTCTGTGATAAAGAAATGGCTGTTGCACATACCCCAATTATTTTTCTAATTGTCTGAATTTTGAATACCCAAAGTGTTAAATTTGTTTATTGAGTTTTATTTGTGGTGCCATTCTATAGATGGCGACACATGGTATTTATTATTTCGGTCACGGACATAGATACATATATACACGGTACATTCATTACAGTAAGATACATTTTTCATCTGTTTGGAGAGCAAAATTAAGATAAATAAAAAAACTTCACTTTTTTCGACAGTTTTAACATGGATCAAACCACAGCCTACTTATAACGGATGAAGAGCAAAATTTAAACAAATCCTCGAGGTTTTTGATTTTATACATTATTCTTCTTTTAATAATAAGTCTGAAGGCTTACAACGCTAGAAACCGGGTTTCGATACCTATGGTGGACACAACACAGACAGCCCATTGTGTAACTTTGTGCTTAACTTACAAACAAACAAAATTTAACCATAGAAAAATTTACATTTTTATTTTTTGCTTTTCTCAGTACTCATTCTATATCTTTATATTTTAGCACGGAGCTACACAATGCGTTTTGCGCTCTATCCATCGTGGAGAGTCGAACCCCGGATCTTCTCATTGTAGGTCCGAACATTCACCGCTGATTCACCAGGGAACTACACTTCAATACCCTTCCAATTTGTTAACGAAATTTGATACGGGCATTCCACACTTTAGCTTGGTTATGAAATGTTTTCTGCCTCAGTTTATAATGTCATACGACACAGGACCCACATTTTCTGGTCTGTATTGATGTTAAACATTAACAGTTGTTCGGTATATTTTAACACAATCACTTTTTACCCCCTCTCTTTGTTTGTTTAAGCACAAAGCGACACAGTGGATTGTCTTTCCTGTGCCCACCCCAGAGATCGAATCCCGAATCTCAGGATTATAAGTTCTCAAGCCTATCTCTGAGCTACCAAAGAGACATTTTTTTCCCCCTTCAAGATAATGTGTTCACATTTACTGTTTTACTTGAAACACGACAATAAGCGTAGCACCAATTTCGTCTCTGTGTAAAGTCAAAGGAATGATATTTGACGTATCCCACTAATCATAAGAGTATCAAAAATATTCAACACTTACTCTTCGGAGGAAACAGGCTGCCCGATACTCGTCTGCCAAAACTGAAAAGTTAAGTAATAAAAAAAAATTAAACGTTCTTAAGACTAAGATAAATGGCAAAAGTAAATATTTCAACTATACGAAAAAAAAATCCTTATCATCACTCGTTTAAATCATCAAGAGAAAAAAATAAAGTGAAAATGCTGGATCAACTCTTTATATATATATAATTTAGAAATTATTAATTATTATAAACATTCTACGCTCCGTTCACCTAATAAATCACACACATGTGAAAGTATTTGCTCCCTTCATTTTTTATTAAACGATAATAACATTGATATCTAATTGTATATATTTTATCTATTTTTCTATCATTAGCTAACGTTTATGATAATGCGACTTATAATTTCAAACAGAGAAGTCACTGTACGTCTTAAAGTTAGCTTACAACAAGTGGATCTGAGCAAGATTAACGCTTACTTCTTTCCTCCATGAAGAATACTCGTTTAACTATGAGAGTTATCCTGAGAATATATACAGTAAAGAATATTTTCATTATGTGAGTTATCGTGCGAGCATATACAGTAAAGAATATTTTAACTATGTTAGTTAGATAACTAACATAGTTAAAATATTCTTTACTGTATATACTTTCAGAATAACTCACATAGTTAAAATATTCTTTGTTGTCTATACTCTCAGGATAACTCACATAGTTAAAATATTCTTTACTGTCTATACTCTCAGGATAACTCAAATAGTTAATATATTCTTTACTGTCTATACTCTTAGGCCTGAAAGTATATACAGTAAGGAATATTTTCACTATGGGAGTTATCCTGAGATTATATACAGTAAAGCATATCTTAACTATGTGAGTTATCCTGAGAGTATACACTGTAAAGCATATTTTAATTATGTGAGTTATCCTGAGAGTATATACAGTAAAGAATATTTTCACTATGTGAGTTATCTTGAAAGTATAGACAACAAAGAATATTTTCACTATGTGAGTTATCCTGAGAGTATACACTGTAAAGCATATCTTAACTATGTGAGTTATCCTGAAAGTATATACATTAAGGAATATTTTTACTATGTGAGTTATCCTGAGAGTATATAAAATAAAGAATATTTTCACTATGTGAGTTATCCTGAGAGTATGTATAGTAGAGAATATTTTCACTATGGGAGTTATCCTGAGAGTATATATAGTAAAGAATATTTTCACTATGTGAGTTATCCTGAGAGTATATACATAGAAGAATGTTGCAGTGTACGAAAAAGGATGAAATATAAAATTTCTTTAAATTGGTTTGATATTTTTCTTTAGATTGAAGCAGTTCAGAGGGAAGCCTGAAAAAAGAGAGAATATGCAATAGTTTCCAACATTAATATTCTAATAAACTGAGCTAATCGTGGTAGAAATAAGATTTATTCTGGATATGTTACTGTCAAGACCTTAGAATTTTGTGTATATATACAGTAAGATATACATAGATATGCATCACTAATATATACATATATGTATGGGTAACTTATACATATAGAAATAAGTGTTACACACATATGGATTAGTACGACATTCATAAGTATTGGAATGCTGTACACATATGTATCAGTGAGATATCACCCTTTCAAATAATGTAATGAAACCTATATATATGTGTGTGTTTTAATACACTATGGATGCTGAGAACAAAAAATAATTTACTTCTCTCCAGTATTAATGTCCTGACTGCGTTCGAAAGTTTGTAAACAACAAAAAACACATTTTTTTTTCACTATCACCCTTTTTAACCTTTTTATATTATATACACCTGGAAAAAAGTTAAGCACCCCCAAATATTTTTCAGGATTGCTTGTTGAAAATAAGGTTTAA